GCGAATAATGTTTGTAGAATTATAGAGGCAACGATGATTGTTATGCAGGATGCCACGTAGAAAATACGGCCCGAGCCAATCAACGGATAACTTGGAGTCGAACAATTATAGCTTGGCATTATCTATTATAATTTTATGTATGGCAGACCTTCAGTTACTCCTGGTTCGAAGCTGAAACAGGAAACTAAATAAAAGGCATATATAAAGTTTGAAAATTGAAAATGGAAATGAAAGTGGAAATGAAGTGAAAAATGAAAAAAAAATGAAAGTGAAATAAAGTGAAAATGCTTGGCCAACAATGGAGAAGACATGCTCAGGACCGGAATGAATGGTTCAAAGTCGACTTGCGCAATTGGAGAAGCTTGCGAGGACGAGTCGGATACAGGTGATACAGGTGATATAAAGTTTGACTTGTAAGATTGGCATAGCTGGCTCCACCTATTTCAAAGCGAATGTGATTTCTTGGCCGCCGACTGTTCTTCAGAAATTTGCTGTATTCGAAGAATATCTCGGCAGAGATTCATTCTATTATACTTAGAGAATGCGTACATATAAGGTTCTTCCTCATCAAGAGTGATCGCTTACGGAAGCCGAAGTGTGGCTCGAATATCCCCAAAAGCGTGTCTAGCGCAACTCAGTGAGGGCCATTATAAGATTGGTTAGAAATTCGCCGGTTTCAGGTTAGAAGAGTTACGTGGCGAGCTTTGGATAAAAGATTATGAATCCCAAATTAGAAAATCTTTCAAATGGACAGAGGATAAATGGAATAGAAAAAACTTTGAGTGCTTCTGGCGGGCTGCAAATACCGCCCGCATAACCGTTTCGAACTCCTTCAATAATTTCTATGAATGAACACGCCTTGACCCAAATAAAATGCATGCGTGATTTAAAGGCGTTCTGAAGAAAACCGCTGCTTCTCCCTTGCGATTTATTACCTGAACAATGATGCCTTGACAGTGTTCGATTTCCCATATTCCCTCACCCACAGCTGGAGTACCTTGTGGATTGGTCAAGATTGCGCACGCTGGGTACCTTACACAACAATTGGAGGGTCATCAAGATCACAAACACATTGAAACATTAGTACCGCAAAACCTGGATTTCCCAATTTTGTAAGTGGTCATTTTATTCTTGCCCGTCTATCACATTTTCTGATATGACAGAAGCATTTAGCGGACGGACGCGCAGGCTGATAAACCGACAAAGGCTCGAAGAGAGTCCACCAAACTGCACAAAATCACGGCTTCATATAAAAGAAGATATTAAGGTGTTCAAAAAAGCCGTTCTAACAAGGGAGGTCTTCAGGGTGTGCCAAGCTTTTTCAAAATGGTTTCTTGCATGATATAGGGGCACATGCGGGAACCACAGAACCATGGTTCATTTTTCCTGAACGGCCCTCTGAATACCAGAAAAGGGGTCCCTAGTTCGATTCCTCGTGGTGACAAATTTTTGCATTTCGAGTTGACGTTTCAAAATTCGCGCAAAATGGAGTTAGCATGAATAATTAGTACCATATTCATGATTAGGACCGTCAGTAACCCTTAAAAAGACTTTGATTAAAAACTGGTGAAAAGGTGTGACACCAAGCGCCCCACTGTGGTGTCACACCTTTTTCACCAGTTTTTTAATCAAAGTCTATTTGTAAGGGTTACTGACGGTCCTAATCATGATATGGTACTAATTATTCATGCTAACTCCATTTTGCGCGAATTTTGAAACGTCAACTCGAAATGCAAAAATTTGTCACCACGAGGAATCGAACTAGGGACCCTTTTCTGGTATTCAGAGGGCCGTTCAGGAAAAATGAACCATGGTTCTGTGGTTCCTGCATGTGCCCCTATATCATGCAAGAAACCCTTTTGAAAAGCTTGGCATACCCTGGACGAGTTCCCTTGCTGGGTATTCCACTATGAGAGCGAGGGGCCCCAGAATAGAGAATGCTCGTATGAACACATCTGATCGAACCTTCCAATAAGTAGTGAAACAATTGCACATAAGTTTGGTTGTTGTGTACGATGTGCGACCTGACAGCAAGGTGGAAAGTAGTTGTTTTCTCGCACAACAATTTCTCAACGGCGATATTAGCAGTTATGGTCGCATTGACACATTTAGCACCTGTGCTTCATAGTAATACGCTTTAAGTATGAGTCACAACAATCTGTCGAAAATACCTGATAATACTGTCTCGCTGAAAATCTCTACTCCAGGGTTGCAAATTTATGAAACTGAGCACTGAAGCGCGATTTCATTCCCCTCAGTACCTCAGTTGCCATAGCAGGAGTGCAAGTAAGGGAGCAGAAGGACCATAAAAGCATTCCAGCGCTACTTTTATTTCTTGGACTTCAGTTCTCCTCAAATCGATAGAGAGTATTACTTCTTAACCAAATGAAACGTTGTCTACTGTTCTTCATTTGGCACTGCCAACGAGTCTTCAGCTAGTAGATGCCATCGGTGAAAAACGAGGGTGATCCAACATGGTAAATGTGAAATTCCCTGCATCGAACTGACCTGGTCAGCCCACTCCCCAAAGAAAGAAGTCATCTATCGTCTTCGTATAGTAATGGGAAAGATCGAATGTCGGGAAAAGTGGAGTTCGCCGCCAACCAGCAATCAAAATTTTTTCGCCGTATAATGCGATCGGCTGTAGCTCCGACTCATTTAACCTTTCGCCAATATACTGCGTTTCATAATTATAATTCCACCTTGGAATTTCCCAAAATCTTACAAATTTAGATGTTTCAGAAAAAGTGTACAATGTGAAATGTGACAAATATAAATGCGAAATTGTCTGTGAATACCAAGTTCCAGCTTAATATCACTAAAAATTCACGATTTAAAACAAGTACGGACCCTACTCTAGTAACTCGGCTGCATCTTTTATTTATTTATTATTTATTTATTTATTTGTGCTTGAACACGCCATAATATTAAAATATCATGAAGTTAAAATTTCCTACAAACCTGTCAAAAATATAAGTAACAAAACCAGTGATAAACCAGCGACCTGAGGTTGAGTTCACTAGGCTGTCTGCGATTTACAAGAAGAGACGTATGAGCTTGCAAGCCAAGCGGTTCTCAGTACTTCAAGAACTGGTGGAATGTAATGGAATCTTTATGCGAATTTAGCCCAGTTCTTGCAATGATTTTTTGACAGAGGTGGTGCCTTCCACATTTTCCACTCAAGAATGAATTTGGGATTCTCTCATGCGCAAGAAACATTAGTCCATTAAGAAATAAAGCTTCGAAAAAGATTCGATGGCAGAGCACGACTTTGTTGAAGTGGATGTTTCACTGGCGAAATGGCCTTCATTTCCATCAGAAAACAAGGAAGTGATCTTTGCTGCTCTTATGAACTTCATATCATTCGAAATCTCTCCTTCTTATCAAGGGATTCCTGTGCTTGGCGTGAATTTGGTCCAAATCTGGCGAGATTGCTTCATTCAGCAGATTTTGCAGCAACCTCCTTTTTCAAAGTCCTACAGCAGTTTTCATTACACTGCCTTCTTAAGAGGCAAAGTGTCACTACAATAAAAAAAAAAAATTTCGGGAAACAGAAGTGAAAAGTAATCGAAAAACATGAGGTGGAATTATAATTTTGAAACGTCGGCAAAGTGGCCTTTTACACAAAAATTATTAGAAAAAATTCTAGTGATATTAAGTTGGAGCCTGATATTCACAGACAATTTCGCGTTGATATTTGCCACATTTTCACATTGGAGACTTTTTCTGAAACATCTAAATTTGCAAGATTTTGGGAAATTCCAAGGTGGAATTATAATTATGAAACGCAGTGTAGAGCTCACAAGAGAGGTTGTCGTCGTCGCATTTATATCAGAAATTCAGTCAAATGACGAGAATCTGACAGCATTTTCGGCACTGCATCCATCCGATATTCGGAGAATTTTGACAATGCAACAAATCAGTCGAATGAAGAGGTATGAGAAAAGCTATCTTCAGAAAAACTGGCTGGAGATATGTTATTAATAGGTTGGCCGTTGAGAAACGTCGTTTTGTTTAGCAGCGAAATTGTATTATAAAAAACAACAGCAGAGCACATTAATCGTATAAGTTGATACATAATCTCGCAGCGCTTGCAGTTTGCACAAACACTGAAAACAATGCGTAAAAATATGACTAATCAGTGATTATCTCTTCATCATCATTTACGACTTTGCTTTCATTTTGCAGGAATTCATGGAGTATTGATGCTGGAAAAGATTATGAGCACATTCACAATCGTCATTATTCAGGAATTGTGCGACAAAAATGTAACCCAAATTGGGTGTAATGTGTAAGGTCGGTTGGTGAAAGGTCCAATGGGTACGATTCTATTCGAAAAACGCTTGAGCAGCTTCACGCTCACTGTACAGTGATTTGACGGGCGTTGTTAGTTGTTCGAGGTCGACCATACGAGCATGCCTAGGCCACGTTCTGAAAGCAGCATTTTCGAACGAAAATTTAGAGTTGAGAAGCAACTAGTATCTGACGTCTAATGGTATGTACTGCTGCAGCCTCAGAACACTGCCCTCCGAAAAAATACTAGGCAGTATGAAAGGATACTAAGGTCTCCCCATACCCCTTTCCTATAAACACGTGAACATTTTCTGGGAAAGATGGTCGGGTATGAAGAAATCGGCACTTACTTACAGCTCAACCTAATACGATGTGTGGGAAACCTCAGCGATTTTGTAACTATGTGAGAATACTAGTTTCACGATCCTATAATATTATATTTATTGCGTTTTCGAGAGAAGTTTCTTCAAAGATGAGATCTTTCACGAAGGCAGTTGTCCAAAGTTGTTGACAATTGGTAGCTGCGGTCACGCGGCTCTAAACACTGACACTTATCAAATCCGTAACAACAATACCGGACCTAATCCGGTGAAACTCACCTAATCTCTGCCAGTGGGCAACACGTTCGGCAATCTTACGAAGACCGACACTTCTGCCCCATCTCATAGGGCCGCCATAGGTGATGGGCCAGCCAAAACCCAGAAGGCTGAAATGTTCAAGGCAAAAATTTTCAGGTTTCAAGTAAATTTTAAATTTCATAAGGAGTTACTCACAACATGACATCGATAAGGGATTCTTCCTCAATCATGCCCTCCTCCAAACACAAAAATCCCTCATTTACCATAGGAAACAGCACGAATTCAATAGCATCCTATAACAATCACACCACAGATCATCTCTTTTCACTTATTAAAGGTAGCGAGTACTTTGACAGCTGGAGGGGCTCTCCAAACTCGCTTTGTGCTAAGAGGAGGGGATGTGGCTAAAGGCAAGCTACGAGCTAAGTGAAAGCGTTCATCAATGAAGCCGGATGTCGGTAGTGGTCTGGTAAAAAAATGAGGCAAGAGAAACCCCGATTACGCCCCAATAAGGATTTCCCATTTCAGCCGCATTCCACCTTGGGATAGAGAAGGGCGTGTTGGACGAGTTTCACGAACCTAGCTCCAGTTGCTCCAGTGCCAATGACATTGAACGCAATGCAACCGCTGCCGCAAATGCGCCCGCGCTTTTCAAGCAGCGTTACGTGGCAGCCGAGCGGAAGGAGGGGCTCGGAGCAGGGTCAGTCCTATCGTTGTTACTTTTTGAAAATTTTTACGACCCCCCTCCCCCAAGGTGGATTTGGTACGACCCCTTTTCGACACCTCGACCACCATATTCCTCTCTATAGTATTTAATTCTGGTACCACTCAACCCACCAAACTCCGCCCACTTTTTCCTCCAAAAATGCCGTCGAGCGGGGGGGGGGGTGGGGGCGAGGGGTATATAGCTCACTATAAACAGTAAAAATTTACCACAACATCCCTGAATTTCAACCAATTTAGGCCGCTTCTTTCTCGCCGCAATTTCAGCCTACATATTGAGGGTGAATACGATGGGCATTCCTCAACGGACGCGAGGATTCCTCTGGGCCCGATCGAGACTTGTCTCTCGCGCGGAGCACCTCACACTTCTGTGGCCATGCCGCAGGGGGGCGGTTGCGCTTCTCTCCGTTGCGGTATGTTCACTCTCGCGCAGCTACCTCAGATGGTTAGACGAGGCTATTGTCGAGATCGCGATTTGCCTCGACCGCATTCGCCGCTGTCCTTACCATCGCTCCCTGGCTCGCGTTTCTAGAGGGTATACTACCTCGGCGCTGAAAGCGCATTCTCTCCGCATACGTCCGCACTCACCTACCATCTACCGGCATTGAAACCGGCTCACTTTCCACACCAGCAAACTCATCAGTGGGCTTTCAGCGCGACCTAAAGCGTATAGCGACGCCCCTCGCTAAAATTTCAAGCCAAAGCGATGCCGGCCGTTGTTATAGTCCAGGGAACCAAGGATTGACCCTGCTCGTCGAGTGAGGTGTGAGTGCGAGTCGAGCGAGTTCTACGCCCTTGTCGCCAACTACTGAAGTGCCACAAAAGGGGCGCTACATGAGCACTTGTCTGCCTGTTCACCATGCTGGGGGATGAAAAAGGTGAGCGTGCCTAATTCCGGAGCGTGCTTTGAAACCACCTGCAAGCCCGGCATCTAATCACCAAGCAGACTCGCACGAACGCAAATAGCTGTGGCGCTTCTCACAAAGGCCAATCACTTTAATCTACCTGCGCATGAAACGTCTGTTTGGATAGCGCTAACGTCTAACACAGCCATAACTGATATTATATGCTGATCTGCCGCCGTCTCTGAACGTCGCTCCCAAACTTCCATGTCATTCGGCGTAGAATCCTTTCCCTGAACGAAATAAACGTAGGCTTGTTGAGTTTCGCTGTATTTGAATTCAAACGATGGTCCTTCACAAAAAAGTCCCTAAAAAGTTGTCAGTCTTAAATAGGAACCAGACCAGAGTTGGAAGCTGCAGATCAGATGATAAGAGAAATGACGCACCTAGAACTACTGTAGAAGGCAGGCTAATTTCTGCATTTCACTGACTATTTGTTAGCACTGGGGGATCTCTCCACAACGTTAGGAGAGTTCCTCTTTTGGCCTCGGTACTTTATTCAGCTCTTTTTCTGTCTGACTATTTGCCCCATAGATGCCCAACAAACTGAAACCCTTCTTTTTGTTTTCCATGTCTAGTTTACCTTATTTTTTCCTGACACTCAATTCCAACTCAACTTCACGTCCCTTTTACAACCTTTGAAAACAAGAACACCGGCGACTCAGAAATGTGCCCTTGAGTTCATAGGTTTTGAAGGTATTAGTATGTGTTGGCAGAACCAAGTTTTTTGCTGATCGGAATAAGGGCTCCTTTATTCGTTGCTCTCATTTCATTCGGGTCTTGAAGAGAAGATATCATAACAAAGAGTGGTTGATACTGTCATACACACGACATACTTTACCTGTCTTCCTTCCTAACCGATTCAATTGCAGTAACTCCTTCTCAATAGGATTGAGTGGGTAGTTGTGTTCGCTCTTCAGAAGGGCAGCAACATCCAAACCTGAAAGATCTTTGTAAAACGAATTTCTTGTTTCGAAGGGATTTCGCGATAAGGACAAAGGTCGAAGAAGGAGATAACTTACCTTGTGGAGAGACAGGCGGTCTCCAAAGGGTGCGGACCGACACGCAATTTGCAGCGAAGGATATGCCTCGGCGATCTAACATGGCCTCCCATGGCGCTATGGCACGTCCCACCGACTATCTAACCACTCGCCGCAGGTCTCTAGCCGTCTAGCAGAGAGAGTGTTAGCGTTGAAGAGGGCAGCACCGATGAGAGTCGCATCAATGCGGAAATCAACGGCAAGGAAGGGGTCCCATTTCTCGGGTTCTGGGCCGTTTCTCATGGTTTTTCTTCATCCCGGCACCACTGACCACCTCTACCTTGATTCTAATGAGCTGCCTTGTTATCGTAAGCTCCGCATTTAACAAACAACAGTTTTCTCGCCATTCGTCTAGGACTAACTTAAGCCTTTCAATCTCCATCGTCTGGTGACTAGAATTAAGCCTTTATATCATTCAGGACTTGTTCTAAACGCCATGAAAACGATGAGGAGCGGGTGGATTACATTGCGAAAGCTGTGACGGTGTTCTAATGACTAGTTTGGGGCTCGTTATTGTAGGCTGTGTTGACACCTAGCTATTTTGATTAGAACACCCTCGCATAAACGGCATGGCTCACGATGGGGCTTTAGTTGGTAAGCCGTATCTTAAAACACGACAAGATAACCACTTAGACGTGCGAAAAGAATCGTGCATGAAAAAATGAACATAGGTTGAGCTCCAATAAAGGCGGCAGCCGAGCTGAAACTTCGTGTACAGGAGCGGTTCATAGTGATCGTTGAGTTACGGAGTGAATTAAAAGTGCAAAAGAAAGCAAGAAAAACCATCCAAAAGCCGCTAAAATTAAGGGATCTAAATCCAGTAAGGTAGGATGTCGTACGACGAAGGCACGTCAGAAGACCGACAAGCTGAGGACAAACAAGCGACGGAGAAGAGGCCGCGGTACGAGAGACCTCTCACATCAATCTCGGTGGGTGGGGGATAGATGAGGTAGTTGTTGCAAGCTCATTCATTAGGAGATCAGCGCCCAGAAGCAGGCACATTTTGGATGACGATAGGTAGCGACCTGGCTTTAGAATGAAGCCCAACAAGTTAACTCGCTAGGGAGCCTTATTCCGGGTTTGCCTTGCATTTAAGGGATATGCCCAAGATCTTAAATGGTCGTGCAATCTTTAGAAAATATATTTCTGAGCAAGTGGATGAGAAAATTCACCGTTCATATCGGCCACGGTAAGCGGCCCCATGATGAGACCAAAGGATTTGAATAGTGCGTCAACATCATTCGGAAGCATTCCGAGTGGTAGAGAAATGTCTGATCCTGGCCCTCAGATAAACGCAAACAGTCGGTTGAACACAAGCCTCGGGGACAATTTGCCAACAAGCAAGCAGCTGTTAAAGTAAGCGTTTCGACCTTGGCCCCTAGCGTTCCCAGAAGCGGAGATTGCGCTTTCCGCGAAGAAATAGCAAATGATTAGAAGCAAAATCGATCGATGTATATCCATTTTGAAAAATGAAGAAGTGGAGTGGATTTTTCAAAAAATTGAAGGTACCTTTTTCATCTGAGAGCAAACAGAGAATGCCGTCGCAACAGCCTCCGCCGAGGTGTGCTTACCGAATACCACTTCCACCATTCTAATTATATGAGCCGGATTGAAGAAGTGCATTCCGACAAGACGCTCGGGCTTTTGCAGCGCTGAGCTCATCTGTATTTATATATGTTAAAAAACTACTGCAGCGAAGAGCGCAAGTGTTTGGTGGGGGATTCTAACCTTCGCTCGTCCTATTCGGCCTTCAAGTCACAGATCTTACCTCATCGATATTCAAACTCGAAGTGTTCGTGGCAAAGATTGTCGTTGGCTTGCAAATCTGACTGAGTTTTGTAAACAGTTCAGTTTTCAGCTTCATTTTTTCAAATACTGCCTCAATCACCTGAAAGAGAACGTAAGGGCACTTCGTCTTGAAATAGGATGAAGTTATGAGTTGTCTCATAAAATAGTGCGCTTTTTTCAACAAGTATATTGTCATACCGAATTCTCATTCTTTTTTTAATTTATATACCATTCGAAAGAGAATTGTCTGCTCTACAAGATGCTATGTTCTTCTTCCATCTATGTTCCATGGTTTTCAAATTTGAGGCCTGCGAAATGGGAGGTCCCGCCGACAAAAATTGACCAAACCGACAACTAGCTCTAACTTTATTTTCCCTGCGGAGAAATCAATCAATGATGTACCCTCTACTTACTCATGACCTCTTCTGAACACTATTAGGTTTCCCAACAAGTCGCGTCATTCCATTTCCAGACCTGGTTTTTCAACCAGAACTCGACGGTCAAGCACCATTACCTGAGATCGAGGTCGAAATTTTTTTATAGCCGAGACATTGAAAAACTGGTAGAATTTAAGAACAAGTCATGACTAAGTTAGGAATGTACGCCTGGTTGATTTTCTCATCTTCTCAAGGAATATTTTTTTCAAAGAAATGCGGTCACTTTCGTGGATAAGCACCTTACTCCTAAACACCTAAAATTCGAGCTAATTCCTAACAAACATTAAAACAAAACAAATGAGCGAATAGAGCAGAAGAAGTGCTCACAAAAGATACACCAGTTGATATAAAACAATAGCGTTTCAGAGGAAGAATTTCAATTTGAAAATTGCCATGGCTTATCGGTCGGCCAATTCGAAAAGAAACAGGGCAAACCTTTTTCGGCAACCTAAGGGTGGAATGTTCAGAAGAGGTCATGAGTAAGTAGAGGGTACATCATTGATTGATTTCTCCGAAGGGAAAATAAAGTTAGAGCTAGTTGTCGGTTTGGTCAATTTTTGTCGGCGGGACCTCCCATTTCGCAGGCCTAAAATTTGAAAACCATGGAACATAGATGGAAGAAGAACACAACTTTTGTAGAGCAGACAATTCTCTTTCGAATGGTATATGACTCGATGTAAAAGCATGAGGATTTAGATGAAAATTTTTGGTTGAAAAAAAGCGACACTATTTATGAGACAACCTAATAGAGGACCGCTGCCAACCCCCCGTCACAGATCCGATCTTCCTTTTGCAGAGACAGACCCAGTGAGGTGGCACATGATCTAAGGACATGGTCTATTTTTTGTGCCGGCAAACTTAAACAGCGACACGTCTCTTCCCGAGTAAGTTTCTACGATAAAACCATATCCTCACTCAACTCTTCCCACATAAGCCAACCATACCGGATCCTATCTGACCTAGCATTTATCTCAAAAAAAAATTTTCGAAAGGAGGAGAATGTCACACAAGAATGCGGGGTTTTAAACAAAACTTTCGCCCAAGACGTGACTCGAACCCGACAATTTTGCTTGCCGAGCAGTGCGCTACAAGTTTCGCTACCGGTTCACCATTTCATCCCAACTCATTTCATGGTATACTTACCATAGCTTGCCAGCACTCACAATGGGTCACAATGTGCATCAATTGTCAGTGTTGGTGGAGGAGAAGGGGGGGGGGATGGGACATTAATATTTACCCACTTCTCCACGAAGTTTCACCTCTTGGGAGAACTAAACTATAAAGTTTAAAAATACAAAAACGGTTCCCTTCGGAAAACACGCGAACATCACGTTGACAATATACTAGCAAGTTCCCTCTCAGATACCCCACCCCATGCCCATACGAAAGCAAAGATGGTCATCTCAAGCTGTGCATTGTTAAAGCAGGTTATTCTAAATCCAATGCTCAAACGTACACAAAATTGAAAAAAAAGATCTTACAAGGTCACAGTTCTTCAATGAGTTCAAGTCCGTCGTGAGATGAATTCCTTTTTCGAGCTTCTCACACTGAAGTGAACTGAGTCGACCAAGCTTCTTTTCTCTGGCATAGGTGGTTTTCAGCTCTCGACGGCAAACTTCCAAACTCTGCAAGAGTATCAGAAGCATATCCCGTGGAACGACATTATTCAAAGTTCCCATTTTACAGGTGTCAGTAAAAGGAACACTTCTAGCCATTGCTGGAGCCTACCCTATGTAGGGTCACAATCATAGCTTGTGAACTCGAATATTTAATAATTGACTAATCGTCTTGTCTTTGTTCACAGCTTTGAGACACAGAAGTTTCACGAGATTTGCGGCAAAGAAAATAAAAATACATGAAAGGAAAGTTAGAATGCGGAACTCCACATATGATGAAATTCGACCCAGCATCGAACTGCGAACAGATGGAGCTTGACCAAACTCCAGTTCGGGGGGGCCACTCCATTTTTTCTCCAATACTCAAGATAAGGATTAGAGGGCTCACGACACGTAATCGACTCATTTAAAGTAGACTTCTGATAAGTATCGGTGTAATGTGGAAGAAACCTGAGATGCTTCCACAATGTGGCCCGCAGCATAAGGGTGGATAAGCTTCAGGATGACCTGGTGCAGAAAAGTGGATGGGATGTGGGCAGGTAGTGTGGAATGTAGGACATCCACCGGTCCTTATCAAAAGTACGCTCGAAATGAGTCGTTCACTTATTATCTTATCCGTAGTGTTGGATAGCCCAAAGGAGTGCTCTCTAGTACTACGGATAAGATAGCAAGGAGTGCCACCCCCCTCCCATCCCAGAATCTGGACTTTCACCAGCTTGGCCTGTTTGCATTCTACAGGTGTGGGTGAAAGGGGCATTTGTAGCCGTTGACCTCCTGGAGCAAATGCCGACCGCACGAGGCTACATGTGACGCCACATTCACCGCGATGTGATCCCCTGACCTATGTCCCCAATTTTCCATATCAACCTTGATATTTTTACTTCATTGTAAACGTATGAAATGTGATAAATGAGGGAATCACAGCCAATCTGCGGAAAATTCACCTCTCGATAAAGTCACTGAGGATACGATAGACCAAACACTGAAAAATTGGAAGCAAAGTACCGCTCTCAGGATGCTAGCGCAGTTGGTCTGGGCATTTTTGTCGGCTCCGGATCATACACCAACAGGTTATAATCAACCTTAGAAAGCCCTAAGCTCGGCATCAATAACATAAACCCAGAGTGGCTTTTACTTTGGAAATGCTCGCGCAAGGTCACTGAATAGGAACTGTTAGCCCCAGTTGTAATTCCAAATGCCGCTCGATTCGAAAAAGGTACAAGTACCGATGTAAGGAGGACTATGAAATTAAAAAAATGCATGGCGGCATCGGCAAAGTGGAGTTGATTATCGATCGCATCTAGAATTCCTTATCATTTTAAGGGAACATTCACCTCACAACCAGTCAGAGCGTATAAAAGGAAATAAGCAAAGTCACCTCCATGTTGTTTTCAACAAGTGTCGTATCGTAGCCTGCTCGACAAAGCGCAATGTAGGCTAAATACCTTCTTCCCATTGAGTTCCTAATATGGAAAGGCTTTTATATTTAAAAGATATTTCACAGAATTAGATGATTATTATTTCAGATTCGAACAAGACATTTGAAGCTCACTGACCCCCGAGTCATCACGGCTAGCAGTTTTTTTTTCACCGCTGCGGCCGTTCGAGTCTGCCAAGCTGCCTCGATTGTAGATGCGCACTGCCACACTGAAGACAAATGAAAATTTAGCAGAATGAGAGAGACAGGTTCGAAGAAAAGGTAGTTGAACACACCTGCGACGCTTTCTGCTGCGCGCTCATTATGTATGACTTTACCTCGTCCGAGACGTTTGCCAAATCCATGTCTTCCCTAAATAACCTTTTATTTGAGGGCCAGCTGCGTCTGCTTTGCAGACTTACACCATAAACAGGTAGCGACGAAAAAACTTCAAAAAAAAATCAAATAACATAAGGATTAGTTTTGCCCTACAAAGTAGTATCGCCTTTTCTTCAACAGAAATTTTTTTCTAATTTCCCCATGTTCTTACAACAAAGTCCGTAAGCAACATCCAAAAGTAAAATTGTCTGCTCTACAAAACATTTGCTTAGCTTCCACATATATTGCAGGATTTTGTATTGTAGGCGTGCGAAAGGGAAAGTCCAATCGTCAAAAAATAGCTAAACCGACAACTACTCCTAACTCTATGTTCCCCAGGGAGAAATCAGTCAATGATTAACCATCACCTTAACAGCAACGTCTTTCAAGCATTCCACTACCAGGCCTCCGGAGAAGTCCCTTTGCTACTTTTCCAGCTATGGTTTTTCAACCAGAACTTAGGGGTCAAGCACCATAACTTGAAATCCAGCTAAAAAAATTCTTACAGGCCAGACATTGAATCAGTGGAGTGTTTGGGAGCAAGTCATGACTAAGTCAAGGATCTGACTGAAGAATATCCAGATTGACTGCCATCATTTTCTACAGATCTGAACTGGATCATTTTCCCGAAGAACCAAGCATACATTCCTGCATTGGTTCTCGGAGCGAAGATTTTCCAGGGACGGTAGTAAAGTCCCCTAAATAGCCAGTCTATAGCTGGCCAATAGGTCACGTTGATCTCGCCTTCGTCGGCACTCAAAAAGCATGGGGAAAGGGCGGAAATTCACGCTGACCTCCCGCAGAGGGCGAGGTCTATACCACATGTTAAGTGGCGAACGTATTAGGTGGCACCTAGCCTAGGCGGCGAACCCGGCAGAGAAAGGGGAAAGTGCGTGGAGATTGCAGAGACGCAGAGGGTCATGTAGAGGGCGACTAAAATGTACCCCTGAGTACATTTTAGTCGCCGCCTATCTGCGTCTCTTCAATCCCCATGCACTTCCCCCTTTCTCTGCACGTCATGCATTGGTCGCATTGAGCGTCTCTCCGTCCCTGCCATGCGCAGAGCGCAGGGAAGAAAGGGGTACGTGGAAGGTGTTGAGTGGAGGCAGCAAGAAAGCCACTGGAGCTATCGATAATATTGATAACTTTCTGCCAATAAGGTGATCAGCTGTCCCCCGCAGTGTTCCACTTATTGAAGATCCGTAAGTTATTATAACCTCTTCTTGGTGCCCGGAGCATTTCACTAACTGTACCCCAATCCTCAGGGCCATGATCCTAGCTTACGGAGACGTCGACTGGCGCAGTGGGTTCGTTCCTTGTTGACATTGGGCCGCTCGTGGGATCAGTTTTCCAGTGGCAAACGTCGCGCTCATGGGCGCTGCATTACATGGTTCAAGTCCATGGCGACGCGACTTTTGCTAGGAATGTAGTGAAGCTCGCCATTCAGAGCGGGGTCATCTGGCTGTCTCGCCTTTCATTATTCACCGTTTACGGCCGTAGTTCACCACCTTCAACTCTCCAGTCTTTGGCACTTTACTACC